GGCCACTTTCGCTGGTCGGGTAGTGAGCCGCAGATTGGACAAGAAAGCTGAAAAACACGATCGCATATGGACGTCCGCCGAGACCGTGCTCCGAACAATCTCGCTGATCACGAGCCGAGCGCTTCGAGACGGCAACTGCAGCGAAAGTGAGTACCAGCTCGTTTTGGGCAAAGCAGAGTGCTTCGCCTCGTTGAAAAACGACATTAGAGCCAGACAAAGAGAGCTCTCCGCTAACAGACGCGAGAGCTAGAAGCACAGCTGGACGCTGCACCTGCAAGCGCGCGTGAGGAGGGCATTCAGCTCGGGCGCATGGATGCTCTAAAAAAAATCCATCGTCAAGTGGCGTATGGCGATTCACGCTAGACATAAAGTTTGTGCGCCATTGACAGTGTTGCATCATCTTGGTGTGACAGTTTTCATCACCCCACCCACGCCAGGGGCTACAAATCGACCGAAGCTGTGATCATAATAAATCACTGCAGTGAACATCGCTTTTGTTTGCGAGGGAAAACCAGTAGTTGAATAAAACGGTGTGTATGAAATAGCGTCAGTAGTATAGAGGGTTTGGCATGTCAAACTGGCGCTATGAGCGTCATGAATCTAGCCGAGCATTTCAATGGTCGATGGCATAATCGTGCGTGGTTGGCTGGCAAAGCTATGAAATTCGTTTGCCACTTGTTTGACGACAGCGGCGGGGATTTGGAATGACTATATAAGCATGTCGAGTCGCCTGGGCACCAAAAAAAGCTAGTTGAGGAACTGATGAGATCTAGGGGGTGGCCTCACCGCTTCCTCCGGGCTGCTCCCGAGGAACTGCAACGGCAAGTTGTGCTTGCGAGGGAGCGAGTAGACGCCCACCTCCGCATTTTGGACTGGGTCCTCGAGGGGAACCCTCTCGACAAGTACTAACTAACTAATAGACCCCCGACGGCCGGCCGCGCGGGGCGGAGGGTGGGCCGGCCGTCTTTGGCTTCTGCTGTTGTCCAAGGTTTGGCCTTCGCTGTAATTATGCTAGCATAATTACAAGAAGTACGTACGCGAACTAGGGTTGGGGCGCTTAAATTTGCGTATAAAAGGTATCAAGGTGTGAGGTGTGCTAGCGGCAACGCTGTGTATACTACTAACGGATGTTTTTCATACATTTGAAAGAAACACAGAAAGAAAAAACTTTTTTGTTAGAAAAACTACATCCGTTGCATCTATAGCATAAAAAGTTTACTTTTGGTGCTCAGACGTAACAATACAAGCGTTACTTAGAAAGATTCTTAAGTTTTCTTGGTACCTCATACGCTGCTCGTATGTATGAAAATTTTTGCGATAGCTATAAAAACTCTCAAGATGCAGTCTTAAAACAGTTGTTGCAGACTAGTCATCGGTAGACACATCAAATTCCTTGATAAATAATTTGGACAAAGGCAGGATAAAAGGCAATTAGCTACATATAGTCGAGCTATAAATTTCGAGCCTACGACATTCAAAAGCACAAATTTTCAGTTATCATAAGGTAGGTTTAAACTTACAACTGATTCAATTGTCCAAATTCTTATATCAATAACTGAATATTTTTCCGTTCTTTTTTATTTACTGTATAATGATTTGACACTTCAAAGATGCATATGGCAAATTCCTCGTTTAGTCACATGACACAATTTCTGTTGATTTGGCTGGTACATCCAAACTATACATAAAGTTTTAGCTTAATCCAAACTGTGTTGTGCATGTATTTTGCTTTAAGTGTTTTGTAAACTGAATGCACATTATGATATTGAATGATGACCGAGGTTCTACTTGACTCTTTGTAAATTCAATCTGTTTATGATTTCAAATTTATTTTAGTTCTTCATTTTATCTATTTAATATTCATCTTCATCAGACTTCCATTCTTTTTTGCATTCAACTTTTTTCGAACTGATCTATTTCGCGTCAATTTTGGATTATCTAAAAACTATACCAAGCGTGGATTTTTGTCAGATACACCAACGTTAAATTAACCATTTCATGTATACAATCATAAGCTTTTCTTGGAAAAAGTTTTCAAGGTAGAAGCAAATGTTGGCTGAGTAGTTATTCATTTTTCTTTGTTTTGATCTATCAACTTGTTTACTACAACACAACACATCTAGCCTGATAACTAAAACAAGTCTTCATAGCAATGTATAATAACAGTATTCCAGCAACTCTCTTTTAATTTTACTTCATACATTTTGAAAAATAAGAAAAGTCCGTCTCCATTTTATGAGATTTAACTCAATGCATAATATATAAAGGAGTTTTTCTTAATACAAGATACTCACGCCTCTAAGAGAAATAGCTTCTTTGCAGCGTGTGGAAAGCGAAAATGTAAAGAAAAAAACATAGCAAAATATATGCCATGTAACACAAAATACTGAATATTTAAAAAAGATAAATAATATTATTTTGCATGTGTCATAAAGCAAACAGCAAAACGCAAAAAACGAAACAAAACCATGTGAATGTTACTAGGAGAAAAAACACTCAGAAAGTGAGTTTGATTATCATGACAACACAATTTCAAACAATTTATTTTTTATTGAGGAAAATTAGAGAAGTGAAAGCCAACCCGTAGAAAACAAGACAAGAAAGAAAAGAAATATTCGTTTCTGGTCAAAAAATGCTATACAATAAACCTTTTATTAACCTTGCTTGCTCAGTCTTTACTGAGTAATATCGGACCTTGGTCTTTTTGTACAAGCCTCCCCAAGAACTCGCTCTCAGTTAATAAAGGTTTTTTAATTTAGATAACACGTTCCTTCCAGTCATAAATAACTCAATGGACCCAAAGGTCGATTTCAATCATTCAATGCATTCAACCACCAGGTTGAGAGTTCAATCCTTGGTCAAGTAAAATTGGCCTGCGAGAAGGTGCTACTTATAATGTGGATGAGCTCGTCAACATTAAAATGAAGTTTTGCAGATTTCCCCCCCCGTTGCTACGGTATCAAAAGTGGTTACGGGGCTCAATACTGAAAAAAGAACGGGGATAATGGAGCACAGTTTATAAAATTGGCCTGGATAAGCTAAATTCAAAAATAACATGCTCCAAAAACTGTCACGTTACAAACTCCGATAGGAGTTACGTTGTATGGAATAACATTGTAAATTGATTTCGTACGTGTAAGCAAATCACAATAAGCATTTACTACACCAATGTTTTTTTTTTCCATCCTTCTTTATTGTTTATTTTTTCTACCAAAACGTTTTATAAAAGACAAGCTATAGAAAGTTTTTCTGCTACTAACTTTAGATATATATATGTTTCACACTAACATATTTAAACTGTTTACGAGGAAAAATAAAAGACTTCTACTTCATCTGGAGTGAACTTGTATGAACCGGCTAGTAAATTCTTTATTTTGTATTTCCGTAAGAATACCCAGATGGGGCCCTGTACGAATAACCAAAGTTGGAGTATGAACTGGAACTAGACTTGGCATTGTTGGCAATGTAAATATCAAAACCTCCTCCAAAACGGGTCCATAGCTACTGCTTGAATACATTGCGTATTGTGGTCGCACTGAGGGGATGTTTTGAATGGTGCAAGACCATCTTTGTTTTAAATGAGAAAATGAAACAATTTGGTGCTCTTTTGTACTCCTAGAACAAGATGAGAATTTATAAATAATGAAAGAATGACCTTAGCTTTAAAGAGAAATAAAGATATTTATACTTATGCATGATTAATTTAATTTGAATGACTGTAAGAAGGCTAAAGTCTACAGGCTCAGGCTTTCGAAATGCCCGTGGCATCTAGAAATAACTAGTTTTTGCTATTCCAGCTTAATGTGCTTAATTTAGACCTATTATGATGTTGAAAACCGTACGATGTACTACTTTAAAACTCATAAGCTGGCGAAGTAGTGAGTTTTCCGAGTTTCATCTTTAAAAATTTTTCCGAATTGTGTACGTCACCAGTTGCAAACTCAAGCCGGGATAGTTAAAATCAAAGGAGAGGAGGAACGCAAATGTCATCAGGAGGCTGAAATTATTAGAGTGATAAATATCATAAAGCCTACAACTTTGTCTTAGCATACATCCCCCGTTATTAGATAGTGGTCTACCACAAAGCCTATAAGTAGGTAATTTTGTTAATGAGCTTCATTGGTGATTTTTTTGGACACAATACGCAAAAATGGATCCCACATAAATCAATCATGTATTCGCTCAAGTTATTTACAATAATGTAACTCGCATTTAAAACTGTTCAATAAACTTGACAGTTTTAGGCCTCTGGGTTTATTAAGGTTTGTACAATATTATTCAATATATTGTTCAAGCAAAACAGTTGAAACTTGACTGTATGTGTCATACACTGATTTTCATTTTAAATTTTGCCACAAAAGCTTAGTAAAGGCAAAGGACAATAACTGAGTTATAATACCTGAAAACGCAAATGTTTTCCATAAGGTGCAACGAACATGGACAAGCGCATGACTAGCTGTAACGAGTTGGACAAATAGCTATTGCAGAGTACATATCATGCGCAGATTTCATTTTAATGCATACATAATTTTGTGCGCGCTAAATTTTTGGGACACTAGATAGAAAACTAGACTGTTAACATATGCATTTGCATATTGCTTAGGCGTCTTGAGAAAGTCACTATGGTCTATTTTAAGATAAAACAAGAGACTACACAAATCTCTTGGAACGTACTTTGCCCTATCATAGAGTGGTCAAATTTTACAACGGATTATTTTATTAGCCTCTTGTAAAATATAATTTGTTATAATATGCAAACAAATTTTAAGAAGAGAGACGAAAACGGTTGTTTGTTTTGATGCAATTACGAAATTTGGTTATTTATTTATGGAACAAGTTATAAAAGGTAATGGAATAAATGATAAAAATTGCAATAAAATTTCTGAATGACAAAAATACATTTGGTGCTCCATAGCTAATTTGAAGCATGTCATTTGTACGCATACATATGTTTTAAAGGAACTTCAAAACTATTCCACCTGCTTAATATGCCTTATCAAGATGCGTTGATAGTTATTATCAAACATATTCACGATAATATTGAACTTTTCCTATAAATGGACCTTCTGCTCATAGTAGTTTCTTTTATTAAGTTTTCACATTTTATTGGCTAAATATACAGCTAATGTCAGCATAATTCTTTCAAGCTTACCTCCCCAAGATTTTGATGCAAATCCTCCAAATACATAAGATTTACTTTTTATCAAGACCAATGTTGGTCCCTTTGAGTCACAGCGACTGTGGAATGTGCTTGCCCCCCATCCATTTGTTGTTGCTTGGTAACAGCGAACGGTCTTTTTCTTTTTCAAGTTCGAAGGAAGCCACTTTTCAAGTTGTATAACCCAGTCGTGTTTATATTGTAGAATGCTGGAATCTTTGAAGATTTCTTTAAATGTAAATAACACAAAAACCATTTTTTAACATGTTCTGGTAAATTTTAAAGACTTTAAGCTGGACTTAACTTTCAATTTTGTTTCTTGTTATTGCAGCTAAATGTTTCAGCAGAAATGAAAGAATCTCCTAATTTGCGAGTCATGCATTATGTATCTTATATCTATAAGCTGGATTATTGGGAAAAAAAGGAAATTGAAATATATTTTGCCCGCGTGCTTGCATGCAGTTGGCCTGCATGCGTATTTTTTCTCCCCATGCACATGCTGTAATTATAATTATAATATTTGAACTGTTAGTGAAGTTCTGTTATGCAAACATTGCGATGTTTCATACCTGATATGTTGAGACACAAAACTTTGTATGCCTCCTCGAACGCCGAAACTTCTTTCTTGATATCGCCACAGCAACCACTGGGAAGATTGTTTCCAAATGCGCAAATTGTTTTCAAGGCATTCTTTTTCTTCGTTGCTAATGTCTTTATCTCATTGCAGCAAATTCCAAGAGCGTCTTGTGTATAGACGGTTAAAGTGTAGGCGATTAGAATGAAAATCCACTTGTTCATGATGATTTATGTCAAGAAAACAACGTTCTCTTTGTAGCGATGTAGGATTCTTTCTCCGCTGGGATGTTAATGATTAAGGCTTTTGCTTCTCCTTCTTTTATACAGCACATCCTTTGTAAACAAAACACAATGCATTAAAAAGTTGACGTCAGCCGCTGCAATGTGTTTGCTTAATAAATCTCTTTTAATGGAATTTTTCATCTCACTCAATTAACAGTTTAAACAATCTGAAAGTAGTGTTTTAGGATTTTTTTAATTTGCTTGGAAAAACCCAAAGATTGCCAAAAAATTTTATGTGATTTTGTTGATAACTAGTTAAAAAACGAAATTGTTTTTAAGAAACTAATTGCATTGAATTTTTTAACAACAATTAAAATTAAAGTGCACCTTCCACCAAATATTTTTTTAGCAATCTCAAATCTGTCTATGATTTTAAGCCTCTTTGAGAAAAACTTTTTGAATTTGGTCAAATCTGGTTTGATTTTTGTAAAACGTTATATTCTCTAAAATTGTATATTCTTGTGAACCATGTCCGTGATATGAGGTATGAAAAGTCTTATGTGGTAGACGAATCCTATTGGGGGTGTAATTCTCGCTACATGATGAACCTTCTGCATTTTTCCACATGGAATAAATACTCATGCAAAACTATATACCCAATCCGGGTTATGCAAATATTATAGACAGTGCAGCACTCCTTTCTCTCTAAAAATTAACAAGAAGTGTTTTATAAAAACTAAAAAGAATCTCAAATACGCGCGCAAATAGGGCAAATCAGCACTATTTTTAATTTCAAAGTAGCTAGTTTAACTTCGCTATCGCAAATACAACGTCCGTTTTTAGTCATTATCAATCGCTATTCTATTGAAGATTGCATAGTTTACAGCATATTTGCCTTAAAAAAGTTACAAAAACTACTGCTTAAATTCAAAGGCTTAATTTGAATTGTCTTTTAATAAAGCACTAACTATTGTTTTTTAGAGTTTAACAAATTGGATGATCAATTTAATGTTTCACCTACACCAACATATAATTTGAAATGCATACATTTGTGGTAACGCACATTCCTATCGAATGAGTAGGATTAGGTACAACTGCTCAAACGAGTCTAAAAGCATCTTCCCACGACAAAAAATGTAAAATTGACTTATCACGTTCAACAAAGCACGCCATGATCATTGCTAAATGATTGGTCAAAATTTCATACTTAAAATTGAACAAATTTTGCCTACGTCAATAAGGGGGACATATAAAACTATACTCACCGCGTTATTTGCTGTGTGGGGATTAGCGTTTGATGAAAACAGACAATTTGACTAATGAAATGACGCACGAAAATTTAATTTAGAATCAACATACCGATCACCTTTGTTGAGCATCGGCACTTTGATGTAGTCCTCCAACATGGCCGCTTTGACAACACGCGCAAACACCCTATTTGAAAAGTGTTTTAAAAAATGCATTATACACCTTGCGCATGCATCATCAAATAAGTACGAACAAAATAAATATTACGGCTGAGTTTATTGAACAATTGAATTAGATTTAGACATGATCATTTTATCAACCCTCATTTCATTAGTATATAGCACTTTCTTTCCCATTTCCAAACTCCTTTTCAGTATTCGAAGTATCTAGCAGTTTCTATATTCACATAATCAGTCATAAGCTTGTCTAGAACAGAATACAACATTGTATGAAAGCAGTAATTTTACCCAACTTAGATTGTTTGCCTGTGACGTCAAGGAGCCATGTTGGGGAATATATCAAAGTGCTGATGCTTAACAAAGCATGAAATTAACATGAATTTTTTTACCTATATGGATTTTCTCCCAACTTGGCAACAAATAAAGACACTCTATTCGTTTGAGAAATTCATTTATAGATTTAGAAGATCATAATGTTAGAAAAATTGCAATAAGCAAAACAATTTTATTCACAGTGCCTTCAAAACATTGTCAAAAACAAATCTCATAATGCCATTGTTGTTCTTTTTGGAGCATTATTTTGGGAGCAGTTTGTGGTTTAAAAGCGGTCGCCTCCTGTGTTCTAAAACCTCATTCACCCACAAACTCACCGAGTGGCAGTTTGGCTTTATAAAATGACTATTCAAAGACGGTGGTTTTACGATACTAATTGCATCATGTTCGAAAAATTTTAGTAAAAATATTGCCATGGATGGAGAAAGGAGTTTCCACAGATTGGTGGAAGCGTGATTTATGTGTTGCACTTAATGACTGTGAGTGTAAGTGAGCGTTTAGACTACAGACTTATGTCCTCAAAAGTTGCATTTGTAAGCATCCTTAACTACCATAAAGTCAATGCTCCTTATATATACATTTTATTTGACACCTAATATACAGGGATACTTTAAAAAGGCATAAGTCGGGCAAATATTTAGGATCCAGACAAATAAAAAACATATTATTCTTGACTTGCAATTCAGTCATGTTGGTGGCATGATACAAACGAATATTTTATCAGTGTGAATATTTTATCAGCAACATTGTTTGGTAAATCTCAAGAGAATGGTTGCAAGTCAAGAATAGGGACACTGTAGCAACCGATCAAATATAGGTCTTTTAAATGACTTTTTTAATCCGCTTCCACGATTAGTTAGTCAAATAATCCTGTAGATTTGCCAAGAAAATAGATGCAATGTGCACGGCGAATTTATGACTGTTTGTTTAATGAGAGAGAACTACGTTATACGCAAATACAAAGTACGCATTTTTTTATTTGGAGAAATCCTGTTCAATACGTGCTATCAACATTTTGATATGCTGAAAAAGCAAGTATTTATGGACCGCAGAATATTGTTAATAGAGATGTTGATATTCATACAAATTCATATGATCTAATCTGTAGTCAAAACTGAATTCAATAGAAATTAATGAAGTAGAGCATGCACGTATGAATATAGATCCTCTTCGTAAGGTTTGAGTATGATCACGTGTGTTCTATGGGATTAAGAGTCCCGAGCATTAGATAGAAATTCACGAGGGCGCAACCGTCTTAGAACATGACCACGAGAGATTATTTATGGTATTGAATTTAAGATGACCTATTTTCATTTAAGTGATTATCAGTTAGTAATGATTGCTTTAGTGTAAGAAAAGTAATTAAAATTCCAAAATGAAAAAATGTAATATCCTACGCAGTAGTTTTAACGTCGTTCATTTTAATCTGTGCACATAACGAGACTAGTGAATTTAGTGAGTTGGAATTGTTATAATGGCAGATCGAACCCAAGATTTGTTGAAGGATGAAGAAAATTGTGGCATAAATTTATTCTTAAGTCAGATTGAAGAGAAGGAAGAACGTGTCCACAGATTTTGAGATGCCATACAATTAGAAAAAATTGAAAAGAGAGAGAAACAAAGAGTTAAAAAAAAAACAAGAGATAATACGGAATGGGCAGTGCTGTAGAACTAAATTCATCAGAGGGGGGGCTCTCTTGACTAAGCTGAAGCCATGAAATTATGAAAATGCGTGACGTCGTCGTATAACATTATCATGGATGTTCTTAACGTTTAACTGAAATGAATCATAGATGGCAGATCATAACTCATAAGTCTTACAAGTAACGACCACTACTTTGATAAATGTTTGAAATAGACTTACACTCAGTCATACTAGACTATGCTTGACAGAGCTCGTTAGATAAAAAGTTAAAACTCTGCGAGAAAATGAGTCTGCTACATAACATAACTTATGATTTAGAAATGATTATCATTTCCCAAACAGTAACGATAACAATAAAACAGTATGTATAATTGTATAGTAAATACTATTACTCTACTACTACTATTCATTTGCATTCTACAAAAACTTTTTTTTCATTATCATCTGATAAAACGTCGGCTTATAATCTGAACCAATTTAATCATTTCTTATCCTCCCTGAGTTGAGTAGAGTTATGTCGAAAATTCGTCTTAAACTCAAAAAGGTAAAATAGAATACAGATTCAGAAAACGCACATGCTGCCCAATATTTATACTAAAAAAGAAATTTCGTTAAAAAACTTGAAATATTTGTAAAAAAAACGAAAATGTTTTTCTCAACTCAAGCCATAGTCTATATCAATATACATTATTGTTCATGAATAAATTACAATGCCAGTCTATGATTTGACTCCTCGACGTTTGTGTTAGTCTTGAGTAACATCAGCACGGTTTTACTTGACAAAAAACTGTTGTAAAGGTGTGAGTTCTGCTTCTTTTATCAGCTTCTTTTTTTCTAGTTTGATTATTTTCAGCAGACTTGTAGTGTTCCAGCCATTGCTGCACAGCTGAGCTTGCCTCTCAGAATTGTGCTGCCAGACCATTGATGCTTATGAAAATCAAGGAGGATAAATGAGAAACAGACATGCTAAAGCGTGACTTCAAACATATTATGTTCATTTGAAAAATAGTGCGCTCTGCCTCGGCACTGCTTATTGGCGTAAATTAGAAGCAATCCCTTTAGTAGCCGTTCCTCGAAAATCGATGGGCTGATTCGAGGATCACTGAAAAATTCTCGATACGATGCAATCATGCCTGTCGTATCGAATTTAAATATTTCACAAAGTGACATGATATGTTGCTCCCCTTTTAGCCATGGAACCATCTTCCCCCTTGGCCATTTTTCCGGATAGAGAGATTTAATTTTGTTCAATAATATCTTCTCAGATGAATCAATCATCCTTTTTTGGAGGTTATCAATCAAACCCTGCAAAAATTGCTTTCGATTAAATGATTTGTATCCAGTTCGAGACTGAAATGACCTTAACTCCACGCCTTTAAACTCCACTGAAGAATCGTAAATGTTACTAAATTCATACTTTGTTTCCAAAGAAACTTTTATCTTTTCCGGCGCGTTTATCATCCATTGCAAATAGTCAGTTGCTTTAAGAAGAATGGTGCAGTCTGTAGTGATTTAGACAAAAATGAAAGCTGCCCAAGGCAGTCTTTCATAATGGCTACGTCTTCAACAAACTCTATCGTTCCCAATCGTTTTGCTAATCCAGCATAGGTTGCTTTGTGCTTGTCTTGAGACTGTGAAAGTGTGTAGAAATGCTTAATACAGCTGGATAATTTCTCCAAAAACA